TTTTATTTTTTTTAAATAAATAAATGATTCTGTAATTTTCTCTTCATCTTAGGGGGGAGTTGGTAAATTTATCTTTAGTTTCCAATTGATAGTAACTCATATTTGAGGAGTGATAAAACTATACTGAAAGTAATCTATATTATTATTTGTACAATTTTTCTCTACTTTTTTCAAGAACAAATAATTATAACTTATTGTTTTAGTTGTAGATTAATTTTTCTGAACATTGTTTTAATTTCTGATTTTCTTTTAGCATCATATTTGGTATTATCTTTTACGGGTTTTTAAAAATGAATGAAGTTGAAATTTATAATCAATAGTTATCAAAATAAATTAAAATAAAATGAAATCTAACACTATGTATGTGTATGAATCTATGCATGTGTATGAAGTAGGAGTTTTGTAGAAGGGCTAGAATGTCCAAGACCTTGTAGGATCTAGAGTGTTCTTTAGAGTGGAGGTGCCTATCAATAGAGGAGTACACCTCATTGGCAAAATAGCATAACATCATCCAAGCATTGAGAGCTTTCAAAGTTTGAGTGAATTGTAGTAATACAAACATTTTTCCTTCAACCTCTCTTGAATATCTTTCTCATATTCTCTAGCCAAAGCACTTGCACACACCGAGCACGATTCGAGCACGGTGAGGCTGACTTAGCTAGTTGCTAACGGCCCACGAGGGGCTAAGGCTGCATGTATTTACCGGGCTGCATGTATTTACCGTTAGAAGAACAAGAGCGTGACAAGTGGTATTAGAGCGGGGCTCGGTACTGTGTTAAGTATGACTAAAGAAAAGGAATATGATATGTTCGGGTCAGGTGTAAGCGAGGAGCAAACTGCAAACCCGAGGACGGAACACACCACCGGGACCAAAGACAAAAGGCGTGGAGACCGAAGCAAGGTGCGTGTCAAAGTCTCCACCGAGGAACAGGTCATGGGGGAGCTCACGGAAAAGCTCGAGAGGGTTGAGTTCAACTTCCAGACGTTGGAGATGCAAGTCTTGGAAAAGGTGAAGTCTATCGAGCGCACAGTCCAGGAGGGACTAGAGAAGCGCACAACGATAAAAGATCGCACGGATCACCTCGAGGACCTTGTGTGGGACTTGAGGGCGAGAATCGAGGGGATGAGCGAGGACCTTGCAGTGTGCAAGCAGGCGATCGCTAGTGGGGAGACTTGCAACCCAATGTCTTCTCCATATGTGGAATGCCCGAAGCCGACCGAGTATAACGGAGTGAGGGACGCTAAGGAAGTGGATAACTTTTTATGGGAGATGCAACAATATTTCGAATGCATCGGACTTACGGATGAGTCTGCCAAGATATGAATCGCTACTCTTTATCTTTCTGATACCGCAATGTTGTGGTTGCGTTTGAAACATGCCGACATCAAGAGGGGCATTTGTCGGATCGAGTCATGGGATGACTTCACAAGGGAGCTCAAGAGGCGATTCTACCCTGGAAATGTGGTGTACCGAGCCCACAGAAGCCTAAGGGTAGTTGAAGCAACGGGGCACAATTAGCCTTCGTGGAAGAAGGGCGTGATACTAAGCTATGAACCTAAATTATGCATATGTACACACTTACTATTTTGAGACATACATAATTAAACCACAACATTGATACTTCATTACTTATCTTCGACTTGAAAAGGTCAAACCCATTGATGCACTAGAAAAGGCTCACCCAACTAAAGCAAGGAGCTTCGAAAGCATGCCATTTAGTGAACTTGCATGTGTTCATTGGGCTCGTGTGTGTGTGTGTGTGAGAGAGAGAGAGTACGAAACTGGATACACTAATGGCAACAAGGTATGAGCAGAGTAAGAACAGAATGAATACAAATTTCCTGTCTTAGTATAAAAAATTAAATAACTATAGGTACTTACATTTCTGATGAAAATGTGTAGGGAGGCCACAAAATTGTTTTAGGAATTCACCCACCGTTAACCTGTACACAAACTACACAATGGCACACAAATACACTGTATTAATAATATACTAAAGAATGACCTATAGAAGGATTCTCCTTTTATCAGCCTGACAAAATCATCTCAGCGACTCCAATCTCAATTCTGCCGTTATCAAACTCAATCCAATGCAATGAGTCGAGCAAGCAGCCTTGTTAATCCGGTTGATATAACTTAGTATTGCCACAACAGAAGCAATCATAAGAAGCTTGGTACAAACATGCTTCGTACTGACTGCTGGACACAGATCTAGAAAGACGTTCTAGACGATTAAAAAAAAATAATGGTGTTGGATTTACCACTCAATTCTCCAAATCAGAGAAAACATTTCCGCGGCAACTTTGGAGGATTTTGGCTGATCAAATTTGCCCACAGATTTGCGAGTGTGACAAAGCATTGATAGTTTTCCCATTTTACCATCTTCATGCCTGCTTATTAAATGTTTAAAAAAAAGATTAGAAAAAAGTAAATGAAAAACTAAGATAAATTAACTACTGGTTATCAAATTCCTATTAGTTTGGCTGTGACAAAAATAAAATACAGATAGATAATCATGGGAAGTGAGAAATTTAGGGGTCGCTTGTTTACAAAATAATTTGTCCAAAATGAGTTATTTTGGTTAACCAGAGTTAATTTAAAAAAAAAAAAAAAAAAAGTGGTATGGTTAGTTATTAGTGGGATTTTAAGAATGTATTAAAATAATATTTAAAATAAAATGATTGAAATTGATAGAAGAGACATTTGACGATAAGCTTGGACTTGTTTGGAAGTGCAGTGATGTGGCATCCTACCCTTGTTGACGATCCTTTACTCCGACAGCATCTAGGGTTCCTCGAACAATGTGATATCTTACACCGGGTAAATCCTTAACCCTTCCCCCTCTTACTAAGTTTTGATGTAAAAGTAAGAGATAAATGATTGGGAATGATTGGGAATAATTAAGTAGTTAAAATTATGTGAGTGGATGAGTAGTTAATAAAAGTAAGAGATAAATGATTGGGAATGATTGGGAATAATAAGTAGTTAAAATTATGTGAGTGGATGAGTAGTTAATCAAAGTTGATGTGATGTGCAAGAATGAGTGGTTTGTATTATTTAATTATATGAATAATATGAAATATAGTGGGGTTGAGTTAAAGTTGAGTTAGATCTTGAGTATGAATTAAATGTGAGTGAAATAATTTATAAACATGCATGCCCTTAACAATTCCCTTATTTCCTTGTCAAACTTGCAACTGTACCACCTGTGTTATGACTTCAAGTTTCTTCATCTCCTCTCCCTTTCTAATGAAGGTAAAAGACACTGAAATTTAATATAAGGGATAACTAAAGCTTTTTAGAAACATCTTTCACTTTAAATAGTTCAGCACTGTTTTGTTACTATACCATCTGTCATATTCAAATAAATTGATATTGATCTTATGATGTTTGAAAATGAAAGATATCTCGAAGGAGTGGATGGTATCCTAAACCTTTACTGGTTAATCAAAAAGTCAACTAGAAACCATTTATCAATCCACAACTATATCAGTCGAAATTTAGACCAACTATCGAGTTCAAGGGGAACTCTAGAATGAAATTCGAGCGATGGTATTTTTAAATTTGCCTACCTGGTGCCACCTTTTCTGTTAGGTTTGACAGCCAACATCTAGATTCGTTTTCTGCAAAAACGTAGTTCTGGAGTTCAAATTCATCAAGATTACGGATTTGCTTGATGGACTCGAGCAATGAAGTATCATCCAGCCTTGGTGCAGACATAGTTGATATGACTTCTTCAAGTCCTGAAGTTGCCCATAGAGCATAGGATTCCTCCAAAAGAATATAGATACCCTGCGAGTCTGTAGAACCCGATAGTGTCCATGGCTTGAAAAGTTTGGCTGAAGCTCCAAGAAGAACAATCACCCTGTAGATTTCCCCAATGGCCCAAAAGAATTCCCTACCTGTCATCATTATTCTGAATTTTAGACAAAATTAAAATGGAGACTAAGGCTATGTTTGGTAAAACTAGCTGATAGTTATAAGCTAACTTGAAGCTTATAAGTGATTTTTGAGCTTATAGTATATAGCTTATGACTTATAGCTGAAAAACTAACTTATATGATACTTTGATAAAATTAAGAAATAAAAATTTCAACGAGCTTATTTGAAAAAGCTACCCAAAGAAGCTTATGAGAAATGAAACTTATTTGAATACAGAAAGCTTATAAGCTAACCAAATAAACTATAATCCCCCGTCTGCAGGATGTTTCCTTTAAATAAAATAAAAAAAAAATATATATATATATATATATATATAAGCTATAAGCTAGTTTATTTGGTTAACAAGCATAGCCTAAGTATTAAAATAGCGTGCGCCCTTTCATCATCTTATGTTCTCTGCCCAAGAGAACCTTTTCTATTGCCATAAGAAATTGATATCCTTTCCCCTCATGATGATCAAGAAAGTAGCTTATAAGATGCAGTCAGTCAGTACCTTCAGGTTCAGTTAGTAACTGTCTTTGAACATGTTCCTCCTTAGCTTGACTCCAGATCAATGCACCATGATTTAGTTCTTGAAGACATGCAGAAATCATCTTGGACCATAATGATATATATGCCAACTGTTCCTCTACGTTTCCGATACTCAAAATCTTAATCATGGTGGTTGTGTGTCGTATAAGTTCCACGGCAGATCTCAGATCCTTTTGTACCTGTAGTCCACAAGATAAAACATCATACGCAGCAAAGTTAAAATATGCCAGAACAGGAAGCCAGATAATGAGAAGACGAGAGAAAAGTCCAGCCAGCTAATTTTCAACTTGAATAAAAGTGCCAATGAATTGAAAATTATGGATATATTATAGGAATATAATATGCATATATTTTCAATATATTAAGCATATTACTATCCTTTGAAACATCATGGAACAGATCACTTACTAGCAACAACTTTTCTGATAAGTGATATTCTGACTCAATTATTTGAAACCGTGGTTCTAACAATACTTGAACAAATCCCTCGATACTATCTCCAGGATGGTGATCCTGCTGATTAGTTTCTTCATGGATGTTCATTTGATCAAGTTCTTTCCAGACCAACTGCAGAAATTTGAGTATATCAGAACAAGAGGTATCTGACAAAAACAATAAGCTAGAAACATGAGCATATCAAAAGTTCCTCTTAAACAAGATACAAGTGCATCACAATAGAGACGAGCCTAGATTCTAGTTGAGACTCTGATAGAGATACATTTCAGTATCTGTACCTATGAAAACAACATGAGATTGTACGAAATATCTTTATGAACAAAAAGTATGGCAATAAGATCCTTTATCAGTTTATGCTCGAACATGTAACTGAAATATGCACTCCGTTAAACTCAAAGAGAACCTTGATATAACATGAAGATCATAATACAATCTTAGAACCATGTTTCTAGTGGGATGTTAATAGGCTTCAGAGTCTATGTAAATTATTATGATATTGTTTTAATTATTATCATAAATGAGACATGCTCTGCACTTCTCTTGTTGCATTATCAACAGAATCCGGATATATAGCACCAGGACATATGTTTTAAACAAAATTAGAATTTCAAATTTAATCGTATTGTTGTCTAATGAAACTTTAATAGTAGTTTTCTTTCTCTTGAAATCAAGGAACACACGATGAGCACCACCAGTTCCAATTTACATAACCAAATCTTCACTGGTTGTTAAAAAAGGAAACGTTAGGGTACAATCATGATTGTATAGGTATAAGGTAAACTTCAACTTAAATTCCAGGACAAAATGATAAAACTAAAAAATGATAGCAGATCATTCACCTGGAATTCACTATCAAGAGAAGAAACAGTTGAATCTTCACCAGAAAGAGCAGCATCATTTTGAGCTTCCTAATGAAAAACAACCACTTACAGCAAATTATCAGTGACAGAAAAATGGTAACAAGGAAAAGCATGTGTGTAAATGACTGAATGTATGCTGGTAACTTTTCTTATTTGCATACTGAAGAAAATTAACTTTTTGAAGTGAGTTGAGAAACTGCCTTTCCCATGAGACATACCTTTACTCTTCCAAAATGGGATTTGGCGACAACATATAACTCTTCCTTTAATTTAAGATAGAAATCTAAGTAACTATTCAGCTTCAGCTTTGAAGATGTATCTTCGCCACCAATGTCAACCCTTTTCTCCGAAGCGTCCTTATAACTCCAGGAACTATCATCAAGATATTCATCATGATTTACCACTGCGGAACTGGAAAATGCATTAGACATGCTCAACTGAGTTTTTGCTGGTTCTTGGAAAGCGTTCATGGAAGAAGTGTGCTCTGGTTGGCTGTACAAACTTGATATCAAATCGTTGACAGAAATAGTTGCAGTAGGAGTTTGACTGTTTCTTTGATCAGAAGTAGACTGGCGCTTAAACAGGTCGGCTTCTGGTTGTTCATTTCCAAAAGTTAAAGGGAGGGCTTGTGTGAGATAATTCACTTTTGTATCCTTCTCCTATAAAGTGACAATCAAATATGGTAAATGCGTACAAATTGAAGATCAGGTACCAAACTTGGGTATATATTTCTAATCATATGATTAAGGCAAAAATTAATTTCTGAGTTAGGCAAATGTCGAACTACGGAAATATAAGATTAAATATTTGAAAAAAAAAAAATAGAAAGAAAAGAAACGACGACTCTGGACAACACCAGGCATGAAACGACCAGATTGCAAGAATTACATTTGCATAATACTTATATGGAATCACACCCTTAAAAAATATATAAGATGATTGTCAAATTTTGATAATGGGGGAATCGGGGGTGCGGTCCCACACAGTGAAGCACACCATAAGAGGGTGAGGCCTAGGTGCACTTTAGTAAGGTTCCATTCCAAAACCAATTGGTGATGGGAGGAGCAGCCCACTAGGCTTATAAACTAGGCTCGTTTACCCTATCAAATCAATGTGGGACGACTCACAAGTGATATTCCAACACGCCCCCTTCACTTGTGAGTCCTTCATCAGCCCAAACCTACAACCAAGCCGGGTAATCATCATAAGTCCAAGCCTACAACCAGGCCGGGTACATTTTTTAAATCATCGCAGGTCTCAAATTAGGCCCGCTCTGATACCATATCAAATTTTGATAATTAGGCGAATCAGGGGTGCGGTCTCACACAGTGAAACCATAAGAAGGTGAGCGTAGATGCACCTAGGTTCCATCCCAAAACCAATTGGTGATGGGAGGAGTAGCCCACTAGGCTTATAAACTAGGCTCATTTACACTATCAAATCAATGCGGGGCGACTCACAAGTGATATTCCATACTTTGAAAACTAAAAAGGAAATAAACTAGGAGTGCACAAAAACAAATCTTCAGAAAGGCAACAATGCAAGAAAGAGCATCTGTTTATTAGAGCTAGAAAAAGTTAAACATGCAACAGTTTGAGATAAATTCACATGTACATGAAACTTTGATATACTTAAACAAGTGTTACGAAGCATGCTCATGTTCTTCAACACATGCATTATTCGACCCCTGTATTATAAATGCCTAACCGCTGCAGAAATAAAGGTTCCTAAATTGTATTTTAAGAGTGTCAACTAGCCAGGAGTGATATTTTCTCGTTAGAAGGAAAGGGAAGATCAGGGATCACACCTACTGGCAGGTGCTGAAACTCTACCATTCATAATCCATAGAGTTTAGAACTTTTTAGAAAATAAAGTATGACAGAACAGCAACTTACCTCTGGCTCTGGCTCAGTTTCTGCTGTAGCAGCAGTAAACTCTCCAAAATCTTCATCAAACTCTGCATCTCCAACATATGAACTATGTTTTAACAGACCTTTAAAATTATCCTGTTCGATAATTAAGTTTGTTTCCAAAGGAAATCCATCCCCAGTTGCCACACTTGACTGAACACCAAAAAAATCTACTTCTTGGATAGTGCTTTGAATAGCATTTGAGGTAGCAGAATTAGCTGATGGAGTTGATGATGTAACAAAGTTGATTGATCCATTTGAACCCTCAAATGCTTCAAGTGATTTGTTAGGTCCACTTCCATTCCAAGATGAATACGTACTTCTTGCAGAAACTTCATGTGCCACAAATTCAACCTTCACATAGATTTTGTGAAATCAGAAAGCTAAGCTGACAGGCCAAAATATTTATCCCAAATATGTACAATTCTGTTTGTAGGTGGAAAAAAAAAATGATAAAAGGTGAAATTAGAAGGAATATATATATAT